GGGGGGGGGCCGGGTTAGTATCCACCTGGCAGAGGGACAGGGCCGGCTGGAAATATTCCGTAACCCATCCAGCGTGATCGATTGAGCTCAACGTATTTGTAGAATTGCAGGTCCCAGAGTCTAGAGAAACTGAGGAATGTGTTGGAAAGCATGGGGAACTACATCTCCCAAATTTCGTCTTGAAACTTTGATAACCCACCCAACCAGCGTGGCTCAGTGGTTGAGCGTGGACCCAAGAGCCAGGAGGTCCCGGGTTCGAATCCCGGTCGGGGCACATGCCTGGGTTTCGGGCTCAACCCCCAGCAGGGGGCGTGCAGGAGGCAGCCGATCAATGGCTCTCTCATCATGATGTTTCTCTCTCTCCCTCCCTTTCCCTTCTCTCTGAAATCAATAAAAAAAAAAAGACCCACACAAAACTTTGCTAACCCAGTGCCAGGTTCGGTACGGCGCCCAGGTCTTTCGGGGGCTGTGGGAGTAATCACGACGACATTTGGGGAATTTTGAGGGCATCTCAATTGGCGTCCACTGGCCGGAAGTCCGAGGGAAGTCGGCTTCCTCGGTTCAATTGCATGTCTGGCCGATGTTACGTTCCTCGAGCTATTTTCCTCTGAACGCGCGTTTACTTGCCTGTTTTGTTCCCGCAGCCACAGGTGCTCCCTGCGAGGGGAGGATTTGAACAGACAGTGGCTCGCTCCCAGCGCGCAGCTCCAGCCGACCATTTACCACGCCAAGGGCCTGCTCTACTACCTGACCAGCACCGGCCGCGGCCCTGTGGTGAGTCCCGTCCTTCACTCCTCATCTCCGCTGGTTCCCTCCTCCTTCCGGGAGGCAGAACCAGACACAAGCCAAAGACCTGAGTGTGACAGGCTCTGATGGGGGCCGGACTCCTTTCCCAGGGCTGCCTCAAACTGGGCGCTTTCGAGCCGCAGAAACGTACAGGGTCCCGTTTCCGGAGGCTGGAAGTGTGAAATTAAGGTGTCAGCGGGCCCTGGTCTCTCTGAAGATCGCTTTAGTGCCCCTTCCCTCTGTGTGTGTCTGTACAGATGTTCCTTTTCATTTCTTATTTTTTAATTTTTAATATTCATTTATTGATTTGAAAGAGAAGGGAAGAGACAGACAGACAGACACAGATGTGCTGTCCCACTTAAATGCTTTCGCTGCTTGATGCTTGTATAGCCGGGAGAACAGAACACATCTTTTCCGCTTAAGAATCCTGTTCTGTGCGCGTCAGTTTGGGCAATATTTTCATGTCGGCCCTCGCCCTCCCGCCCAAGGAGACGCTGACTCACGGCCTGCAGAGCGAGCACCAGCTCATGGTCAAGGCCTGGGGAAGGCGCGTTCTGTGAGCAGGAAGCCTTAGCCTCTCGGGGAAGAGAGATCTACAGGGAAGGACGGCCCTACCTGACATACAGTTAAACACACGCGCGCATTCAACTCCTAACAATCGGAATTCTTTTCTGCTCTGACAACCTCTAATTGAAGAGCAGAGCATTTGTTTTAAGCTGTGACAGGTGAAAGTCTTGTTTAAAAATATAAAATAAACATTCATTAACTGTAAACATGACAGCCACAGACGTGTTTCCTGCCGGGACCATCTGAGAGGTGGGTGAGAAGCAGCTGAGCCCTGAAGGCTGTTCACAGCTCTCTGATGGGCTCACATCACCCCCTCGTCACCTCGGAGGCGATATTTAACCAGCTCCCAGCTGACAGCAGGCCGCCGCCACTCGGTGCCCAGGCCTGTTCGGCACCGGGGAGGCCTCCACTGTGTCAAGGTCGGCTCGTAGCTACGTGGTCGCAGGTGAACTGTGACTCTGCCCAGCCTCTGACTCTTAGGGAAATATTTCCTGAAGCATTGGGAAGCCACTTCTGGTCGCTTGGAGGTTCGGCCTGTTCTAGATGCTGCTCAGGAGTTTGTCTGTTGGTGGGTAGAATAGGAGGACCTATGGGAATGTGAGACAGTGAAAGACAGCACTGCCCTGGTACTGATGGGGTTGCTAAGGACGACAAGTCGTTCAGTTTATAAGCAATGTGGCAACATTCACATATTCTTTCACCCACCCACCCACCTATCCATCTACCTACCCATCCACCCACCCATCTATCCATCCACCCACCCACCCATCCATCCACCTACCCACCCATCTATCCACCTACCCATCCATCCATCGATCCATCCATTCTCCATCCATCCATCCATCCATCCATCCATCCATCCATCC